AAAAAAAAAAAAAAAAAAAAAAAATAATAACTTTTTTTTTTTGTTGGAAACTTTTCCGCCCCAAAAAAAAAAAAAAAAAAGAAAAAAAAAAAAAAAATGGTGTCATAATTAAAAAAAAAAAATTAAGTCACAAGAAATACTGGGGATCCCCCTGCCCCACTATAAGTATTTTGTTCCTGTACCCTTACCTCCCTTAAACATCATAGCCAAAAAATACACTACAGGCAAGCATATGTTTGTTAGCTTACAAGCACAAACATACCACACACATCCTCACAAACACAATATAATCCAATGGAAGAGAAAAGAAAAGGTGCTACAGGCATGCTGGGGTGAAAATCAACCAAGAGTGGCAAGGGCAGAGGAGCAAGCACTGTGCAACAGTAAGGCCAGGAGGCGGAGCATCACACGGTAAGCTCCAAGTGAGCACTTGGGTCTCCCCAAAACATCTGGGGCACAAGTTCTTGAAGTGGGAAGACACAGAAGCTATAGCAACTGAAAGGAATGGTTAAGTAACCAAATTAATCCCCTCAGAAGGAAAGAAGCTTAATAATTCAGCAGAGAAACCACAAGGAACTTTCAAAAAAATCTATAGTTAAAATTCCCCTGTTTTTTAGACCACTCCATGCTGTTCATTCTAGAACCCCAATGCTACTTTACTCTGAGCAGTGTCTTTTAGGAAATGTTTTCATGGGTAGCACGTGAAATATAAAGCCACGCTTGAAAGAAAAAAATGTTATAATGGTACTGTGGTTTTCATAAAAGTCTTCTTTCATACCAATCCTGAATATAAGATAAATACCAACAATCAGAATTAGCACTCTATCTAAATAAGCTCAAATAATATTCTAAGTGGCATAAAGACTACAGTTAACACTCGGATTTTTCACCAAACGTAAGTCAAGCACAAATCCTCAGGTAGGATCACATTACATCAGAGTATGATTCTAATTCCACATCATCCACTATTAAATGGCCTCACTTTACCAGACACAACATAGGCATAAATGCTTCTAAAGAGAATATACAGCACAGATCTCCTCAAACAGGGGTAAAGCTTATAGAAAACCACAGATGATGGGCACTTCCACTGAAGATTTTCATTCAGTAGGTCAAGAGTAGAGTTCAAGGCATTTTTGATGAACATCCTGACTTGAAAATCACTGATATATCAAGAATCTTTTTTGTCAGAGGGTATCAGGGAAAAAAACGTTTAGCTTTGGTTATCTGCAGATGGTTTACTTAACCTGTTTTCAATTTGATTCTATAGACATTTACTATGGGAAATTAATTGCTGCTATGTAAAAATCCTACTTCCTGTAACTAAATTAGGTTGGCTACATGAATATTCAGGGGGCCAGGTAGAACATAATGTCTAAAGTGTCTAACAAAATGACATCTAAAGTTTATTAGGTTTTTAAGAATAGATGAAAGTTTTGTGGTATACGAATATTATAGTCCTGGGTCCAGATAAACCTGAATTTGAATTTCAGTTCTAACAGTTTCCTCACCTGTGAAAATAGGGGTAGAGAAACTAAAGACATTCCTACCTCTTAAGGTTATTGTAACAATTAGAAAGAATACAAACAAAATGCCTCACATAATGTCTATCACAGAGTAGGTACTGATAACAGTAGATATTGTGTCCATTTTTTTATTTGATCATTGTATTAGTTAATATCTCTATGGCCCCTAAGTGATGTATTCGAGGCAGTACGACGAAGTAGAAAAAACCACTTTTCTTAAAATCAGAAACTCTGGTTTCAACTCCCAACTCTGCCATTCATGAGATGCATAACCTGGGCAAGCCAACAGAATGCTGTTTCTTTCAGGTATAAACGGAGTTAGAAATACCTTATGATAGGGAAGATCTTGGAGGTATTATGCAGACATGGTTACTAGAGACTTCCAGGTTAGGTTCTTACTTCCCAATTCAACTGTCTAAGGCCTGAAGCCTAGTCTGGGGTAAGAGACTAGGCTTTCAACCCAACTGAATGATCCCTGTATATACGGTAAGAAGGGAAAAGATATTAGTATAGAAGGTTGGGAGCTGCAATTTGAGATGAACTCATGGGTTTCTTGGCAGAAAAAAAAAAAGCACAGGATAGAAAGATGTAGAACAGCGGCAGGTGGGGCATACAGCAACCATGGAAGTCCTAAGAGTAGCAAGTCACTCTGGTCTTGACTTTCCTTTTCTCTTATGGCAGGGTTTTTCAACCTCAGCACTACTGACATCTTGGGCTGTACAATTCTTTGTTGTGAGGGGCTGTCCTTTGTACTATAGGATATTTATGTAGCAGCATCCTTGGCCTCTACCCACTATATGCCGGTAGCAGCCCCCCTCCCTCAATTGTAACAAGCAAAAATGTCTCCAGACACTGCCAAATGTCCCCTGAAAGGGAAATTGCCCCTGACTGGGAGCTACAGCCTATGGTAAAATAACTAACTGATTGGCTCTTGAAAGGTCACAAATATGAACAGTGAAACCACATTATATAAAGAAGTGTCAGAAGATGAATGTAATTCTGTGCTAAGAGGTTATAAGAACTCTCTTTCCTAAAACCATTAATTTAAAAAATGCTCTCTGAATCATGACCATAGAAATGATAGACTAAAATTCTTGTCTACTTACTGATTCTCTGAATCCATCAACACACAGGGCATGTTGGAGCCTACCTACTCTGAACCACTCGCTCCCTTCACTCTTTCCCCTGAACACTTTAGAGAGAGAATTTCACGGGAGAGACACTCTCTTAGAAATAAGGGGCAGACACTTACTTAAAGACTTTTAGAAATTAAGAGACTTTGATAGAATTTTGTGCCATTTAATTTTGGTTAAAAAGTGAGAAGGGATGCCCAATTCAAATATTTTAAAGGGGCCTTAAAATACCCATGTTTGACTAAGTCAGGGTATGACTCCTCTTTGAAACACACATTTCCTGTTTAGATAAACAGTCAGAGATCTCATTGGAGAAGGTGAAACTCAATTCAAATGTTCCCCTAGGCTTGGACCTCACCAATACAAATATTTCACATGAGGACTAATGATATGAGCCAAAGTTAACCTTCTGAAGTAATGCAGTGATGTAACCAAAAGGAGAAAAATATAGACACAGATGAGATTTAGCTGAAGTACTTAAACTCCCCCTAGTACAGCTCTGGTCATACCCACTACTAGTAACAACTGGGCATTACACTGCTTTGAGAAAAAGAAATTGAAGCTGATTTAGACTTATCATTGTAAAACCATCATTTATTCACCATTTAAAAAAAACATTCAAAAGTGGAAATGGCACTCTACAGGACCTCTTATAAATCCTATAGTATTACACCAGAAAATCAATCTGTGTGAATTACCAAAATAAAGCTCAGGAAGTTGCCACTTTGGTAAAAGGTGGCTAAAAGTTGAAATGGGACTTCTAAATTTTCCACATGGCTTTTATATGAATCCTCAGGTCTTTCCCATATTAGAACAATGCTGATAATTTGAAGTCTTTATCTTAACAAGTTATTTTCATTGAATTAGTATCTATATTAATTCTTTATCTATATATCCATGTTTACATTTATAAATACATATAATTTTATCAGCATCCAACACAAACAATTCTTCAGATAGTAAGAATTATAAATAACATTTTAGTGAAAAGATGAACTTATGTTGTAGAAAAAGGAACACTTTTAGAAGACAGTATCTTAGATGTGCTTCTAAATCCATAAAACAGAAAAAAATACATTCCACTGGGCAACTTTACAAGGACAATATCCATACTGCCCACCATATCCCAAGTTATATCGAGTCAACTTTTAGCATAATTTCTAAGTCTAGAACTATTACCACTAAAATATACATGTTTCCCCACAAATTACCTTAATTTTAATTCAAAAGTTTATGCTATGAAACCCTTAACTTAAAAATCACAACTGTACTCCCTCTTCCTCTTCTTATATTGCTCCTGTAGGAGTGAATTATGATAGTAGTTCTGAGAACAGACAAAAGTTTATTAATAAGCAGCAAATGAAAACTTGCTAACTCCTTTTAGAAAAGCTGGCCTAAAGGCAATCCTAATGGGAGTGTAACTATACAATATACAATAAATCAAAGAGTACATAAAAGACCTCTAGAGGTCGCTCAAAAGTAAATACCAGGGAGGAAGTTCCAATAACCAATGCTGAATTTAGGTAAGTCCAAATAGTCATTATTTCATACTTTCAATAAACTTATTATTTTTTTTTTTTTGAGCCAGTCAAATTTAGCAGTGGGGGGTTGCATACAAACTTTAGTGACACGTAATAACTTCGTATAGCATACATTATACGAAGTTATACGAATTCCTATGCCAGTCAAATTTAGCAGTGGGGGGTTGCATACAAACTTTAGTGACACTAATGTTCATAAGTTCTGAAACCCACCACCATCAGACCAGCCCCTTGTTAATATTCATTACATCCTGAAGAAAGTCCCCTCTCATTTCCTTCTTCAAATGAGAGATTTTACCATACATCACAGAACGCAATATGTGCCCACTCTGATTTCATGGCCACTGGTTCATCAGTTCATTGGTCTCTAGGGCACCAAACTTCTCTCCTTTCTACTCACCACTAATTTTTCTCATCTCACCACTAATTTTTCTCATTTTCTCCTATCTGCATGAGTGCAGCTAAGTCAGATCCCTTAATAGGACTACTATCAGTTCATGGAGAAAGTCAGAAGAGAAGGGTAAGTGAATTTGCCTAAAATGAAAGTGAGATTCTGTGGGCTTCCATAATGTTAATTCTCCTCTTCCCCCATTTACCACTGAATCACCCAAGAATCCTAAAACAAGGTGGCCATGTGACCATCTGAAGTGCTTACCTCCACCATGATAGATACAAAGGCATTGACAAGAACGATGATAAGCATAGTTATGCGCCACTGATATGGTACACACACTATCTGTTAAGACAAAAATTTTAAAAGTTAAATTGTTGTATGTAGTTGATACTATAGCATTATATCATAATTTCCAAATTTACTGAATTCCTATCATGCACCAAACATCTTTACACATTATCTACTTAATACTCAACAAAGTCACAAGGAATATATTAAATATCCACTTTTCAGATGATATGAGTCAAAGTTTAAGTAACAATGTTAAAAAAATATTAAGCATAGAGTCAAATTCTATTTTGCTCAGACTCAAAAAGCCCATGCTCTACTAGATCATGAATATCTATTTTAAAATAAAAACCTGTCTTTAAACAAGGAGGTTAAAAAAATGAGGTAGACACCAATCTAATAATGAAGTATTAGTCAAAACTCACATTATAATAAAAACAAATTCATAAAAGAACTATACAGATTAATTTAAGAAATACAACCTAAGTTTTCACTTTAAAATCTAATTAATTCCTAAGGCCTAACAAACAGAAATCCCATTAATGTACTCAACCTTTTCATTAGTAAATACTTATTGAGTACCTAAAATACTATGCTAGATGCTAAGGAGTGGCAGGATCTAATACATTTTAGAAAAAACATTATTGCTCCAGTAAGAAGGATTTGAAGAGAGAGAATGCTATAATGATCTGTACAAGAGATGATAGCAGCTTGAACTAGAGCACTAGCAAAAGAGTGGTGGCAGGTGGGACTGGAGTAAAGACAGAAAGAGATTCAGAATACGAAAAAGAAAAGAACCTAACAGGTGACTAGCTGTGAAAAGAGAAGGAAAAGACAAGGGCAGACACACACACACTTCTGACTTGGATAAATAGTGGTACTGAGACAGAGAAGAAGCAGGGTTGAGGAAGAACATCCTGAGTTTTGTTCTTAAAATGTTGAATTTGAGGGAACTGTTGGGTGGAGCACCCAAGTAATATTCAATATGTCAATGAATGTGCAGGTCTACAGCTCAGTAGTGACAGTTGAACTCAGTAGTGAGGGTATAAAGTTGGGAGTCTCTAATATAAAGATGACAATTATGTGTGAAGCCATGACTATAGGTGAGATCACCTGAATGTGTAGAATAAAAAGAGAGGTAAGAATAGAAAAGTGAAGAACACTAAGATTTGGGGAACATTTAAGGCAGAGGGAGTGAAACCACAATAGAGGAGGAGAATGAGGAGTCATAGTGCTAAGAAAAGAGCAGATTCCAGGGTGAAATATCCCAAGACTGACGGCATGGCTAACTAGTCAAATACTGCTGGGAAGTCAAGCAAGGTTGGAAAAAAAAATTTTAAGAGACAAGTCCACTGAACTCAACCAACAAAATGGCTGTTAATGGTCTTGGTAAGGACAGTTTTGGTGGATGGGCAAGGGTAAATGCCACACTAGTGGATGAGAGTGTGAAAGGTAAGATGAATGTAGCTATTTCAAGATAAAGTTTGGCTGTGAAGCAGAAGGCACATGTGCTGAAAAAGAAAAATAAATGTTTTGTTTTCTTCATTTGCTTAAAGTGCTTATCTAAACGTCACAATGAACCATGTAAGGAAACACTCATACAATGCTGGTAAGACCATAACCTGGCAACCTCTTCAAAGTTCGGTAATGCAGTATTTATGAAAATTAAAATTCTAGTTATCCTTGACCAAGCAATTCCACTTCTGCACATTTAGCCTATAAATATACATTTGTCCTTAATGAAGGGTGCAAAGATTTACAATGCAGCATTGTTTATATTAGCAAAACACTGGAAACAATCTAAATATCTACCAAAAGGGACTAGTTAAACAAATTATGGAGAAGTCCATACAATAGAATACTCATCCCATAAAGCTCGTATAACTTTAATACCCAAACCTGTCGACAGCACAAGAAAGGAAAATTATGCCTGATCTTATTCGCGCAGAGGCCAAACCCAAAACAAAATCATAGCAATCCAAATCCAGAGGGTTTAAAAAAGAGTGCACTATAGCCAAATAGGATTTATTCTAGGAATGCAAAGTTAGTTCAATATTTGAATATCAGTCCACACATATATGGTAAGTATATAATGAAAAGCAAGAGAATCAGGGAAAAAAATTAGAATAGGGGTGTTTGGAGAAAGGTGGATGAGAGTACCTTATTGACTGGTAATATTACTTTTTTTTAAGTTGGATGATGGACTCATGGTGTTATGACTATTTTATCATTATTTTGCTTAACAACTTAAATATGTGTACTTTTTTTTGTATAAAAAACAAGTAATTTCACCATTCATAAAGTTTTTAATGAAAAGAATGAAGAACTAAATGGCCAGCAAAGAAGAGGCAGCATGTGTAGTCTACTCAAGAAGTAGGTTGGTAATGGACAGAAGAGTAATGAGATATAGGAATCAAGGCTTTTTTTTTTTTAAAGACCAACGGACATTTATTGAAATAGTTTTTAGACAAAGGGAAATGGAACCAGAAGCAGTGAATAAACAGGTATAGCCAATAAAAGCTGCTATTTTAATTATGTTCTGTATTCTTTTTAGAGTATCTTTAGGGTAACATAATTGCAGCTTAAAAAATATGAAAGGAAGAGATCCTGGAAAAAAGAAATACAGACAGTTTAGACTCTTTTTCAAGTAATATAAGAGCACAGGAGAGGGATAGATCTTAAGCCCTTGTACCAAACATCCAGCAGTCCATTTGGTTGTTTAAATTTCATGTAATACTAATGTGTTACTTCCTGTTACTACTACTGTCATCCTGGTGACTATCAACCATCAGACAACCAGTAATAAATGATGTGCTTGAGCCTTACCTGAAGAACCTGATCAACAGAGGCGATTGGATGCAACATGATGAATAATATGAAAACATACAAAACAATCATAGATACAACAAAAAAATCTGGAAAAGAAAGTAAAACAAATTAGGAAGTTCCTTCACATAAAAAGACATCCAATAACAGCTGGTATACTGTCAATCCCAAATTTGGTTTTGATTACTTAAGTTGATAAAATACACAGAGCATGTTCCCTGTTATTTCCTAGAGTATGATTCCTGATACATGCATTGTCAGAAGAAAAAAAAAAAATTACTCCTGTTCACAGCTTCTTACATCTGTCTAAACAGTGTTTCTCAAATTTTCATCTGTCTCTCTCCTGGAGCCACCCCCTTGACCCCACCTCTAAAAATGTGCCAAGGTTTCCATGAGAAGGAGAAAATAAATAATTGAATCTATCTTTGTTCAGCATGGAGAGAAAAAGAGGCACTATTCAAAAAGGGCATACTTCGTGACGGGAGAGGTGGATACCTAGCAGATTTATATAACCACACAAAATTTACAAATCAATAAGGATTTAAACCATGAAGGAAAAATCATGTATTTACTTTAGAGAGGTATGAGTCTAGTAGACTATGCTCTCAGCTTCTGCTTTCTCCTGGCATGGTCAGTGATTGCTTAGTAATCCTATTTAAGTACGAATATTCTTCACCAGAAGACAACTATCAAAATGAATTCTGTGTTGGTGGTGATTGCGGGCCAGGGGAGAGTTTTCCTTAAGTTAAAGATTTAGATTCTGTTTTAAAGACTGATTCTTCCACAAAGCTACATGAACCTGAACAAGTCACTCAGAGTCAAATTATTTTATCTATAAAACAAGGAAATGATGAGGATCTTGTAGGGAAGAGTAGATTTTTAAGCACTCAAAATGTAAAGCAATGTATAGTAATAAATGACTAATAAATAGGTAATAGTAATATAGTTATTTATTTGTCAGATAAGAAACATCAGTTCCAAAAGAAAAAGGGAAAAACTTCCAGTAAAAACAGATTTCAATCATATCTGTCCAAAATATAAAGAAATAAAACTTGCCCTACAAACCACGTAGAGTAGAACTAAAAAAGAAGATAATGTATGTGAAAATGCACTGTAATCTCTAACATGAGATAGACATGCTAGTAGCTGTTGCTCTTATAACATACCAAAATCTGTGACCTGGCATGTTGCCAACCAGAACACTGCCATTTCTTCACAACTATAGCAAAAGAGTAACAGCTATTCACTCCAAGGTACTGCAAAAGTCTAAAAGTTGTTCCATATATTAATTAGTATATTCTCAGTCTTTAAAAGCTGGCATTTTATATATAGTAACTGATGTTTTTCCTATAAACTCTAGTTGATCAATCAAAATGCTATATCTTATTGCCATAGGCAGACAAGCCCACATAGACACAAGCCTCCATTCCACTGGTCCCTTCTGCAGTGGCATGCAAAGGTGAAAGAAATGAAAAATTCCAGAGGTAGACAGTTACCGTACCAGTGTCAGAAATGGAGAAAAGACAACTGGTGCTGTGCAGACCACTCAGAAGGAAAGTACAATACCCACGGTTTCAACTGAGGAACCTTTGTTCCTGCTTCCATTTCTAACTCCGTCTGCAATGAGCTACAGAAATAAAAGTTGGAGTCCAAAAGTAACAGAATGTGAAAAACCAGGAATATTTAGTACTGATGGCTTTAATTTTTAACTTAGGGTAGCAACTACCATGAAAGTAAAACAAGACAGTGAACATCTAAGTCATTACGTTCATTCTATCTGTGAAAATCTATTTTACTATGGAAGGACAGTTATATCTCTTCTGTTCTATACTATTTTTAAAGTGGGGGAGGCAGGGTAGAAATCACAATAAACACCAAACTTACAATTCTTGTAGCAAGGTTGCCTGAAGGGTTTTCCTTTTGAAAAGGCAATTGCCACTATGAGGTACTGAAAACTGGAGATAAAAAAAACTGTGGTATTTTCAAAATTTTGTATATTATGTGTATCGAGTTCGGTTTCATTGTATAAGTGTGAAGAATTCCAATATGGGCTTCTTGTTGTATTACAAACACTAGAAGACATGCAAAACATTTTTGCATTAGTAAAAACAACAGCCATTTCCCAAAAGAAACCAACTTTACCATAACTGCCCTGAATTACTATTATAACAAATAGAAATAAGGTGCCATTTACAGCAAAAGATCCAACGATATCAGTATAAGATATATAGAACAGGTAGAAGAGTACAAGAGTTTTTTCTTTAGCAGACACTTCAATCAGTTAAAAAAAACAGAATCAAATAAGAAGTATTTAATAAGCCCACCAGCACTTTTTTAATTTTGGGAATAATATTAGCATAGTGAAGGCAAACAAACCATGGGTTTGACCTTGGCTCTACTTAGCAATGGCTGAAGAAATATTATTTAATCTCTCTGAGCCTATTTCCTCACCTATAAATGTGGGTCCCACCTGCTCCATCATGGGGTTACTGTGGGGATAGAGTGAGATGACTTGTGTAAATGCCTGGCAAAGCATTTGGCACTGAGATGGTCCTCACTACTCTTTAGCTATGGCTCTCCCTCATTTCTACTTCCAGGTGGACAGCATTGTCAGGTGCACACAGAACTATGAATGAGAAGTCCCCAACGTCCATTACCAAAACATTAACTACTATAAACACAGGTACAAAAAGTTTAGGGAAAGATTCATATTATCTCTCAATTCTATTTTTCCACAAGCTTTTTGAAGTACTCTCGTAAGTGGTAATGAAATGGTAATCTGCTACAAATAAACTCTGGAAAGTTTCTATCTTTTCCTTTTCATGTGCAGCATTTGTATGCACATGAAAGAAAACAGTAATGTTAAATGTCTTAAAATTTTCTAAAATCTTTAAAGACATTCTCCCTTAATCAAGAAAATTAAAAATAAATGTTTACAGCTAAAACTTTAATTCTATATAATTACCTTAATAACTTCCATGTTTAATTAATTAAAATAATTTTATCATAATTTGTGAACTGTGAAGCACTCTACAAATAAATAGCAGAAGGACTTAATACCTTTTTTTTTTCAATGTTTTAAAATGCCATTTCCTATACTAGGGTTAGAAAAGTTAGAAGCACAAACATTGGGTTTAGAAAGACTCTAGAGATTAATTCCAACTTTCTCATTGTACAGATAAGAAAAGGAAGGCTCAGTAGCAAATTAAGAAACTGGTCTAAGGTCCCATCTTGATAGTGATGAGTATTAGGACCTTGCTTGACCATATTCTTACAGACAAAAGGAGTTACCATGATATAAAGGCAAATACAGGCTAAATTACTTAAGTGTTTTATTCGTGCTGCATGCAAACTTTTATACAAATTTTTAGACTCATTTTTATATCATATATGTTGCACACATTTTCCATGGATTGACCCACTTACTCTGAATGTGGATGCCACTCCTCATACCAAGGTTGTTGCTTGACCCAAAAAAACCCTAAAGATTGAAATCCAATGCAGATGATAATCTGAGATAAAACGGAGAAGAGAAGAGCCCCAGATATAAGACCTGAAGGTGGTCTTTGTGCCACAAGTTCCTTCCAGGCAGGATTTAAACTCACTACATTGAAAAGAAAGTGTAGAAAGGTTGGTATGTATATTAATCTGTCACTACAAAAGACATATCAGACTCAGGAACTTTAAAAATGTTTTTGTCTAACAATGCTTTAATATAAAAAAACTACAAAAACCAAGCCACGTGTCATAAGTATTTAAGTAATCTGTAAAAGTAAACAATTTAGGTTTTTTCAAAAATGCCTCAGGAGTAACTTATTTTACTGAAATTCAAAGCAAACATTAGTACAAATAAAATACTAAATGTAAGCACAGGCGATAAAATTAATCATCACTCATATCTTTAAAGAGATTCCATTTTTTTTGAATCCTTAACTGCATAGTTTAAAAAAATATGAATTTCTTAAAGAGGACATTGACGAAGGTTTGAAGCAATATAAACATACTAAATGTAAGCACAGACGATAAAATTAATCATCACTCATATCTTTAAAGAGATTCCATTTTTTTTGAATCCTTAACTGCTAAATGTAAGCACAGGCGATAAAATTAATCATCACTCATATCTTTAAAGAGATTCCATTTTTTTTGAATCCTTAACTGCATAGTTTAAAAAAATATGAATTTCTTAAAGAGGACATTGACGAAGGTTTGAAGCAATATAAACATAGCAGTAACATGAAAAGAGGCTTTAATCTCTCATTAAGGTGGTGTCCACCAAGTATTCCATTGTAAAGTTTCTATTTTTCCCTTTGTAATTAATAATTTGTGAAAAGATACTTTGAGACTGTGTAAAAATCCTGCTCCTCTTCAAACTTTCATTCGCTAGTGTTAACATCTACTAAACATTGTCCAACTCAGTGCTTTTCAACCTTGCACCCTGGGGAACATTTGGCAACATCTGGAGATAATTGCAGTTGTTACAACTTGGACAGCGTTACTGGCATCTAGTGGGAAGGGGGCCAGGGCCAGAGGTGCTGCTAGGCATCCTACAATGCACAGAACAGCTCCCCACAACAAAGAATTATGTGCCTAAAATGTTAATAAGACCAGGGTCTCACCAATATTCCTTCTATATTAGTTAGCATTTTGCTGTAAAAAAAAAAAAAAAGCTTTTGTTTATTTTCAGTATGGATAAACTTGTAAATACTTGATTCAGTGGGTCATATTTCATTACCATCATTATTTATTTTGATGTTAATATTACCAATACTGAAACAAACCAACATCTTGTGCCTCTTTATATGATGCACCTAGAAGAACACAGCATCACTTTTGTGATCTTCCTGCCTGACAAAAATTCATAGCCTGAGTCTAATGAGAATAAATCAGACAAACCCATATTCACTGGCCTTTATTGTTTCATAAATGTCAATATCAGGGTGCTCCAAAAAAGACCGAGGGACTGCTTTGAATTACAGAAGACTAAAAAGAGACATGATAACTAAATGAAATCTGTGGGCCTCAATTATATCTTGGTTCTAATCTAGGGTAGGTATAAAGGACATTATGAGGATAATGACAAATCTGAATATGGGCTTTGGATTAGATAATATTATATCGATGTTAAATTTCCTGATCTTTTAAACTGTTTAGTTACATAGGAGAATGGCTTTGCTTTTAGGAAATAAACATTAAAATTTTCAGAGGCAAAGGGACATGATGACTCAAAACTTATTCTCAAATATTTCAGGAAAAAAAAATGGAGAGAGAATAAAACAACAAACAAGGCAATAAAAGAAGACATTTATGGGGAATCTGGAGAGGTATGAGCTATGTTACAACTGCTGATGTAAAATTATCAGTTTAATGAGGCACAGAATTTCATATGCTTTGAAATCAATAACAAAGCAAAATACTCACTTGTAAATACCACTACCAAAATGATTGCCAGATCAATGAAGAGAAACTGGAAGTCTCCTAGGTTACTTAAGATCTACAGAAGGAATTTTCAAAACATAATTAGTTTTGAAGAAGGATTTTTATAGCATTGTCCCCAGGTTTTAGTTTAGTTTTTTCCCAATAGTGACAAGTTCAAAATGTCACTTGGACCTGCTTAAAAAATGAAATACATTTGCCTTTGAAATTAATCAAACATAACATTATTTATAAACATTCAATTTAATACATTAGTATAAATGGCACCTCCTTAAAATTCATTGACTAAAACCTTTAAAAAGTTTTTTGGCAAAAAGAAAAATTTTTACTCAAAATATTCAACATTCAACATATTAAGTTAGTATACTGAAGCTTCCTTAATATCTTACGCCATCCCTTCCGATACTTTCTACAAATGGTACAAAAGGGATAATTTCAAAAAGATTCCTTGGGATGTCACCAATGTTCATTTAGAGAAAAATCTACAGTGAGATTTCAACTATAAAATCTGATAGGGGCCAGCCCGGTGGCGCACTGCTATAGTGCGCCGCTTGGGAAGCACGGTGGCGCTCCCGCCGAGGGTTCGGATCCCACATACAGACCGGCCGCTCACTGGCTGAGCGAGGGGCGGGAGCAACACCGAGGGTTGCGATCCCGTGGCCGGTCCCGGTCCGGTACGGGCGCGACACTGAGGGTTGCGATCCGTTGCCGGGCACAAAAAAAGGCAAAAAAAAAAAATCTGATAGAGTACCTATGGATACCACTGTTTATGCTTTTTTCTCCAAATGCATAATGTCCTATAAACTATTGCTGAAACATGCTTTCTCATTCTGGCCTTTTCCTGGAAACGTATAGCAAAGTTAACTACAATTATGAAATATGCCACAGCTAGACATTTTGAAGAATTCTAAGAAAGGTGTCCAATCTGCACTGAAGGCGAAAAAGAATACAATTACCTTTTACTCATAAGGCTTAAGCCACAGTTGTTGGCCTTAAGGAAAATGCTCTTCTAGATTCATGAGATTTTCAATCTGTTACTCCAACTAAGGTAAACTGAAGGTAAATGTAAAGATACTACTTACATAAATTCCATTATTAATGGATGCATTCAAAAATCAAACATATATGCTCAATATCTTAAGTGTCTTAACATTAAGTGCCATCACTGTGTACAATGTTATTACTTACAGAATACAGGAGAGTAACACTGAAGTACTGGATAATGCTATACAATGCCATAAATTTAAACACACAGAAGGAAGTTATTAAAGCAGCACGGCCTTCCCTGTGAAAAGAAATGTTGGCATATGAATAAAAACATTTTAAACTCCTCCTCCAAACCACAATTATATCTTGACAGATGAACATCAACATGTGTCAGCTACAACGATGTATTTGTTTACCAAAAGAACTAAGCCAAAGCAGAATTGGAAGAAATGAATAGCAATCAATCTGTTACTAACAAGGTACAGGTCAAATGCACTAATATACCATTAAAACAAACTCATATTACTTCCTATGATAATTTTCCCATCTACATCACCAGAAAAAGATACAAAGAGACAGAGAAAATTTTCAATTTATACTACCTGATAAGGTTTGGCACACAGGAAATACTAGGAGTTTTAGAGGTAAAGGGAGATGCCACTGAAGCCTCGAGCTCTGATAAGGAAATGCCTCCGTGTGCCCTCTTCAAAGCCTAATGGTTTCAAGAAAACTAATTAGGTTTTGTGGATGTGATTTAGGTTAGAGTAAGAACTACAAAAGTAAATCACAAAAACTATACTTACACCACAATCATTTGCACCATCACCGCACATCCCAACAAAGTAACTAAGAAACAACAAATTTTAGGATTTTAATTAATTTCTTAATATACACAACATTTCACTCATTAAGATTTCTCCAATACAGTATTATGAAGAGCTAACAGACCAAGATCTCCCCAGTGGAACTAATGAATCTTTTCATTACAATGACCACAGTCATGTTGCTTGACAAACAGCACCAGCTTCCAAATAAAATGACCTGGGTTATTGTTCTATTCCTGTCACAATATGGGCAAATCATTTTGGCATCTCAATTTCTTCATCTTCAGAGTAAAGGGCTTATGACTGTACAGTTTTTACTACACTTAAGGTTATCAGTAAAGATTTATCCCTTAAAAACTGGAAACATAACTGCTTACTAAAACTCTAAAGTCACTTCTATCACGATAGAGCGCCTGAGTGAATGTACTCTACCACACAGTGAACGTACTCTACCATATTACCTGGAGAAAGAATTACAGATATTGTATTTCAGCTAAATAACAAGCACATGAGCCTCTTTTTTAAAATTATTTTTTTTTATTGTGGTAAAACATGTATAAGAATTTCCATTTTAAGCATTTTTAAACATACAATTGTGGGAATTAATTACATTCACAATGCTATGTAACCACTACCTCTATCTATTTCCAAAACTTTTTCATCATCCTAAACATAAACTCTAGACCCATAAAGTAATGGTTTATTATTCCTCTCCCTGACCCATTTCTGGTAATCCCTAATCTACTTCTGTCTCTGAAATTTTTTTTCTTTTTAATTTATTTTTTCTTAATTGTCTCATGATAACTGTATATATTTATGGCGTATAATACAATATTTGGGTACATTTACACTGTGTGCAATGATCATATCAGGGTGTTTAGCATACCTATCACTTCCAACGTTTGTTACCTCTTTGTGTTGGGAACATTCAACAACTTCTTGACTAGCTACTTGAAGTTATACAGTAATTTGCGGTTGGCTGTAGTTCCCCATATTGCTATAGAAAACTAGATCTTACTCCTCTTATCTCTACAATTTTGTATCCATTGCCTATCATCTCCCCATCCTCCACCCTTCTCTCTCTAGAAACTATTCTTTTCCCTTCTTCTATGAGATCAACTTTTTTAGCTTCCACATGAGTGAGAACATGTGGTGTTTCTCTTTCTGTGCCTGGCTTATCTCATTTAACATAATTTTCTCCAAGTTCATCCATGTTTCTGCAAATAGAAGAATTTCATTCCTTTTTATGGATATTGTACTTCAGCTAAATAAACGAGCATATGAGACTCTTCTACAGAGTCATTTAAAATTCTCACATATCCTATAGGTTACAATATATATGAAATATTAGTTACTTTTCAGGGATTGAAAAATGAAACTATAATTTATCAAAAACAAACAAACAAAAAATCCACCAATACTTACTCTACGTTTTGCAATGCTTCTACCAATTGTGTCTTCTGATCAGGTGCCATACGAGCAAACACAGTCCCATGCAACATTAACTGAAAAAAATATGAATTTCTTAAAAATATTGTTCCCAATGTTTTCAGGTCAATACATACATAAACCCAAATCACTTACCTTAGGAACAAGGTCTTGAAAATGCTCCAGTATCACTGAAAATGATTTTCCATTCATTGCAAAATGGTAACGAGTCACCTGAAGATCCTCTAAGCTATCATGGACCAATTTAATGGGAATAGCCTGTGTATGAGACATTCAGAACAATATTTAGTCAATCAAAGCAAGTAACACAATCCTATTTAAAATATATTTGTTCCAAAACTGCTTTCTTTGATGCTTTACATAAGATACTGACAGTTTAACTTTTATTTAAAATTTTTTCAAGGGCCGGCCCGGTGGCGCACTGCTACAGTGCGCCGCTTGGGAGCGTGGTGGCGCTCCTGCCGAGGGTTCGGATCCCACATACAGACCGGTTCCCGCTCACTGGCTGAGCGAGGTGTGGGAGCAACACCGAGGGTTGCGATCCGTTGCCGGACACGAAAAAAGACAAAAAGGAAAAAAAAAAAATTTTTTTTTTTTC